GTCAATCATGTCAAAATTTATATGAATCTGATAAAACTCATTTTTCAAAAAAAATGTAAAAATGGGCTGTTTCTATTGTCCGCACCCCATATAATTAATAATTAAAAATTAATAATTAATGAAACAAATAATATTGATCTGAATAAGAAATCATGAAAACTAAAATATATGTCACACCATGTGAACATAAAATATAAAAATTGTGAACATACAATTTCCAATGCTCCCCGTTACTCGATGATGCATGATCAAACTGTTAGGAGGTTGCACAAATTTATCCATTATCTTTCCTAGAGTTTGGTGCCGGTTTCATTTTTAATATGTTAGTTTTAATCGGTTTTAGCATATGAAAAATGAAACCGGCTCCAATCTCTAATTTCCTCACTCTTATTTCCTCTTATTATACGATAACTTAGTAAATTCTCTAGTATGTCTGCATAGAATTAGTGTTAGCAAGTGAAGTAGAGAGTAATGCTGAAGATCCATAATGTATAAATAACCCCGTTATTTCACAGGGAATCGGTAGAGTTTCTTACTTATTAAGTAGCCGTGTCTTCATACACGAACAGCTCAAACATCTATAATAAAGCATACGTTTGCTATAGTCTATTTATACCTTCATATACAATTAGTCGTTTGCCTCTTTCGTAATTTCACATTAAATCCTCTTTAACGCTAATATTGATTTATTGGCACATATACACATATTTATCCAAGGACGAAGTGAAGCATTTATTTATTATCGTCTTTAGCTGCCTGTCCTTATAGAGAGGTAGTTCGGATATACCAATATATACTACCTAAACTATATCGATATTACTAAATTTTTTTGTAATAAGATCTTAATATAAAATTTAAATTAATTTGTAAGTTTTATATATATAGTTACTGTATTTAAATAATTTTTAGGTTAGCATATTTGATTTTTTTGTAGCAATTCATTGTATATATATAATTAATAAAGTAAATACGCATCAACGTCAATAAATAGAAATTTACCGAACTGATTTATAAAGTAATCAGTATAATCTCACCAAACCTATTATAAAACTAATAATAAGCGATTAATTTATATTATTTCATACTTTCAAAAAAAAAAAAAAACATCTTCAACTTACGTTAAACATTTTCTCTTATTTAATTCTATACACCCAGAAGACAAAAGAATATAAGTGACGCCAAGGAAAAACTTGTCATCAGATCTTTAAACTTTATAACCCTAATAACAGGATTCTTCCTTGGCGGCCTTCATATATGATAAAAAGTGATGTTAATGATATTAGGGTTTTCATTTGTCGGCATCTATATGATAAAAAAGTGATGTTAATAATATTATTGAAATAAATATATATAAAAAAGTTTAGCAAAGCTATTTATGATACATTAATATCTTTCAATTTAACTTTCATATTTTTCAAAATTACTATCGTTTTAAATTTAGATCTTTATAAATTTGTAAAAGATAACTAATTTAATATAACTTGACAATTCCATTCAGAAAGACATTGTGGCCGTAATTCTTTTTTTTGTTTATTATTATAATCTTGCATTGATATTAATATGTCTTTATTGTAATGGAAATATATATATATAAAGTCATAATTTAGTTAAAGCCATAATTTATTATAACCTGTTACAACCAACTGAAACCTTGGTCGAAAATGGAAGACAAGCACTTTAAATTTCAGGTATCCGGCAAAACCAGTAACCAGAAGCGCTCCATAACAAAATAAGTGAAATAAAAATTAACAAAATAAGCATAATTCAGCATTTCTGATTATTTTATACATATAGAAATGAGAGTAGTAAATAATAATGAATGATGTCACGGATAAAAAAAAAATAAATAATGTAATATAAAATTACTTCATGTTTCAGGAGGCAAAATACATAATGGATTCCGGAACATATGTATTTGTCCTAATATAGAACAAAAAGCAAATTTTCGGTTTAAAAAACTGATGCTCAAAGGTGAAAAAAGGCATGAACAAACCATAAAATCTATGAATATTGGCCTCAAAAATATGAAGACATATTAGACAGGCATATAAACATTTCAAGCAAAAGATCGAACAAGAATTCTTTTTATTCTATTATCTTGACATCCATCAAAATTTTTTTCATAATTATTTGCAAAAAATTGATAATTATAACCAGAATCATGATTGATTGGACTCCATGTTGATTTCTGAAGATGCCCAGAAATAGCATTAGTTTGTCCAGTTAACGCTTGTAATGTAGATGATAATGTAGATGAAAAAGACATTTGTAAGGTATTAGGTTGTTGTTCGTGAGGTGATCCTGGAGCACTCTCGGCAGGAGTGATAACAGGAGTGATTACAGGAGTGATTACAGGAGTGATTACAGGAGTGATGGGATGAACCCTTTTACATTCCATGGTCTTTGGATCCAGATATTTTAAGGTTTCACGGAACCTTGCAACCTTTCTTCTATTTTTTGCTAACCTGAAAGCCTCTGGATTTGACATGTCAGATCCTGAAATAACTTGGATATGCGTTAGTAAAAGACTACTCCAACGCTTAAATTTGTTTTCAGCAATGAAAAGGTTATAATCAATAAGCTTGAGAAAACAAATTTCGTTTGCATTAATTTCATTGACGGAAAGTCCAGACATTTTAGACCAGGCACGGTTAGAATAATTACGATCTTGAAGGTATTTCGAAGCAACTATCAAAGCAGCTAAAAACATGCGACGACCACATGTAGCCGGATCACTATTTTGCTTTGAAGATTGACACAAATTCGGAGGGTACTCGGAAGTTGGAGTTGGTAAGTATTCAACACACCGATATAATTTAGCAATTTCAGATTTTATTCTGATCAAGTAAAATAGAGCAGTTTGAAGTGTTGAATAAGAGGTACGTGAACGTCTCAAAGTTTCTTGAATAAAAACACGTAGAGTAATAATTTTTGCGCTTGGGCTAACGGAAAAATTTGCCCAAATTACTTCCACGATGAGACAAGCGGTGTCTAACACAATTTGGTTTGTTTTTTTTTGAATATTTTAAATGAGACATAAGGAGAATATTTGTTTAATAAGAATCGAGGACTCACCAACTAAATTTTCAACAAAAGCAGCCTTTCGATGTTTTTCACTTATCAAAGTTGGAATTATATTGAGAATAGAGAAATCTTGATTATCGTTTTCTGGAGCATCAGGGTGATCAGTAACCGCTGAAAAATTTCGAACGGAGTTGTTGGATACATTGACAGGAATCAAACGAGCATTATTAAAATATTGATATTGATTAGACATCACACATTGGTGGTCACACAAATTATCAGATTCCTTGTTAACGTTTCTTGAGAAGTAATCATTGTTATTGGTCATTGTTTGTTGGGGAATGGAGTGAAATCTAGAGGGACTATATACAGAGACCGGAACTGCGGCAGCATGATGCAAAGCCTTATCAGAAATTCCATATCTAGTAGGATCGGAACAAGGCTCCGGCGAACAATAATATGGTTTATTTTGTAAAGTCTTTAAAGACATGCATGAACCTTCACGAAGATCATGACCAAGATGTGATAGAGTGGGAAGCGAGGCCGCAGAATTATGAGGTAATAATTGTTCACTTGGCTTTGGTAAATGAATTACATCAGAACTAACATCGACATATTGAATGGGGGGTAGTTGGGAGTTGAAACAGTCCTTACTTAATTTTCTACGTTTTTGAATAAATTGATGAAAATTATTATAATTTTCTAAATTACGTTTTGTTGTTTGCTGTGAGGAAAAGCCATGAATCTCGCTTGTAAAATTTACCACTCGCTGATTACTCATATTTTTGTAACCACCTTGTCGAAAACAATCAAGAATTTATCTAATATTTTAATATAACCAAATGAACATCTCAATATTAAAGAATATTTAAAAAAAAAAAAAAAATTAAATATAAGGAATAATGAAAAGATATGCGCAGTAAATATAATATTAAGAGGCTACGTATGAAGATTTGAAATGCTAAAGATTAAACCGCAGCTTAATTTTTTTTTTTTTACTACAAGTATATCGATAACTGATACGTATTGTAAATACTTTTAGTAGACTTTTTAAATTCCGATAAATTTGAAATGCGAGTTCACCAGCGGAGTTATTGAGTTGCTATTAGCGTCATTTTGAATGTGTAATAGTAATGGAAAGTTTTACTCGTATTTATAAAATGAATGAGGTAACACAATAACCTGTGGCTGGCTAAGATTATCGTCCACTTTCTACGCAGAATGCGCATCACTCCGTAATGTATAAAGACGATCTTTTTTTGCACATCTTGTGTTCCATCCCAATGGTGTAATTTATATATTGTACAGATTGTTACCACGTTTTTTTCCCTAAACCATATATATTATTGTGACACTTAAATAATCAATAAAAGATGTAAATCTATCTTAACATGGCTTGTTATAGAAACTCATGTAATTTCACGTGACACAAGCATTATTACGAATTCGCCGCAGCCATTGCTTGCTATTTTTAGTTGCCCCGAACTTCTGCGCCTTGTGTCATTGCGGCACAAGTATCGATTTTGGAAATGATGAAAACACGTGTAAGCATTATGTCATAACCTATTCTATTGGCCTCTGTATATTATCGCATATCTGATATCTGATATCCATATGCCCGAACGTACGTACGTACGTCAGTATACCGATACGTATTGTATTGTGTGATACCATTTGTCTCATTTGTCACGATTAGATTGATACATCTTTTAATCCGGGCGTTTACGCAGTGTAATGACATATGCATGTTTTCAAGCATGCCCTCTCAAATAAGGGAACATAGTTCAAGTTTAATTAGTACGTATAATGTAAATTAGAATAATGTAAATTAGAATGTTATTATTCTATAACCCATGTTTATATATTAAAAGTGTATAGTTAAAGTTCCTAATTTATAAATATTTTATGTATATTTAAGAATTTTATTTATGTAATTTGATATTTTTCAAATTTAAAGTTTGACCATCATTTATATTATTTGTTTATACGGCTGGTTGAATCTGGAATCTGTTTCTATGTACCATATGGACCCCTCGAACCAGGTTCATGCTAAATTCCAGAGATGCTTTTTAAACAATTATAATTTATTTCTGTACATGAATCTTATATTTTGACAAAAATTACATATCACCTATCTTTGGTGCAAAAATAATGAGGTAAAAAGGAAAGATCCAGTAGAACATGTAAAATATTTATCAGAATCAGTGATAAAATGTATAATTGATTCTGATTGATATTTTGTGTTATATCTGATTTATCAAATCTAGTATAAACTCAATTATTATTGATTTCTAAAAATGGTTTATGATTTGTCGATTTAATTTAGATTTAGTTTGGATTTGTAACATATTGTCAACTTTTGTCAAAATAGCTCTATATATTTATGTTTAAAACTTAGATTTTAAATTAGAACCAAGAACTAATACTGTATGTATTAATGATGCCTGACGAATGATGAAACCTTTCGTCACTACGAATGATGAAACTCATCACGAAACATAAATTTTATATTACACAAGCGGAGAAGTTTAAAAAGATGATGTATCCTTTAGGAGTCATTGAAAACTAGTTTTTTGTTCATTATTATATCCTATTTTTTTGACATATTTATCCGACATTACCCGATGATCTGCCGGATGTATCCGATAGGTCTGACGAAGAAAGGACCGACGAAACTTCGTGATGAATAACAGTGACTTTGAAAAAATTTAAGATTCAAAATATCCAGAGGTAATTATAAAAGAGCTTGTTGAAAGATGAACAACTGCATTTTTATATTTCATTGGTCAAATTAATTTCGTCAAGAGTTTCGTCAATCGTCAGTAGTTACGTCAGTTTTGTCAGACGAAACCATTGACGAAACCATTTCGTCAGTTCAAAATAGTTTCGTCAAGCATCATTAGAATGTATGTAAAATATTGTCAATTTGTATATAATATAACACGAATTTTGATTGTATAACTTTATAACATTAATAAGGTCATACAGATTAATCAGGTCTCGTAATATACGAATTACCTACTAACCCAAATTTTAAAATTCACGCTCTGAAGAAGAGACCGGAAAGTCATGCGATATAATTAAGAATCAGCTATGATGTTAATATGTAAATGGGAATTGCATCTATGTGGATTGGATTTTTTTAATAAAATTAGAATTGTAGGTACATCCTAACCTAAAATCTTAAGAAATACCAAGTCCACTCTTTACAACATTATAAATTATAACGATAGATAATTGAGAAAATAGTCACGTTAATGCACTTCGGGAGATATACGTATGGTGTTCAAATCTCATAGGCAGAAGTTTGTCTGATTGGCTAATAAATTCAATTTAATTTTACATTATTTATACAGTTTAGAGTACT